GTTGGTTTTCATGTATCTTATTTCAGCTCTTTGTGCACCACTGCTGTCTCTACTTATAAAATCACAACTAGTAGCTCAAAATAAGTAATTATTAAAATGCAGCATGTCTTTCTTCTCTCAACTCTCCTGGTTCAGTTACAGGAAGCAAAGTTTTTCATCTGCTTTCACATCTCTTCTGTGATCCCTCCAGCTGCATCCATAGCCCCACCACTACCAAGAAAAAACTGTTCCATAATTTCCACTATATGTTCCTCAGTTTCCTTGACTTCTTGTCTGAGTCAGAGAGGCAGATCAATGGATTAGAAACGGACCCCTCAGTGCTAAGTACTCCACTTCAGTTTTTGCTCTGTTCAGGAAGGCTTTTCAATTGTGCTATGTAAACCACAAAATCTCTTCACTCAGGAGGCCTTGAAAAGGGAACAAGAAACTTGAAGATGGATCAAAATACAAAGAGTCCTAGCAGGTAGAAGTGGCTTGGGATGAAAGTAGGAGGATAAATCACAACTGCCTTCTGCTTCACCACTCAGAGAACAAAAAGAAGCAAAGGCAGTGAGATTTGCTGGTGCTTGACTATTGAGGCAGGTCAACACATACAAGGGAGCAATAAAATTCAGACATGCTAGAAAAGGGAGCTGAAGCAATTCACGCAACGAAATGCAAAAGTTCTGTTTTGAAGACATAGGGGATTTAATTTATTCTTCCTCTGAATTAGGACAACATGAACCTCCCAAAGCCCCATGCTTCTGAGAATGTGCTGCCAGTGAGAACAGAGCTTGAGGTTTGGCTAGTCCTTCTGCAAATGTTTTTGTGTCCTTACAAGGGAAGCCTGCAGGTCTGCCTGTACCTAGCTTACAGAAACCTAGTCAGTTGGGCTTTGGCTTGAAGCCATGAAGTGGAAATGCAAGGAACTTAAGAGGTTTTTCTTGAAGATATCCTTGTTCATGATAATATCACTTCAGCTGCTGAGGATCTGACCTTTAACTGTCAATAATCCGTTCCTTTGCAGGGGCAAGCTATAGGAGATCTACCCGGCATCAACCTAATATTACATTTCAGTTTTGTCAAATCGGGCACATATTTCAGGTCTTTCTGGAGAAAGTGGAAAGCATTCCTTCCTTTTTCTTCTTTCCAGGTGAAACAATTTGTCATACAGGAATGGGACTTTCAAGCTCTGCATCTCCTACAACCTTTTTATTTTCTTTTGGCACTTTGAACTTGGCTTTTCTCAATGAAATAAGCTCAAAAATCCAGAGATGACCTCAAACAACAAAAACATGAGTCCATGATTTGATCCATCAGCCTCAGTTCTTCCTCAGTGTGGCTGTACATGGTATAAGCACTCAACTTACAGCCAGTATGGAAAGGAAGGAAAAGAAACCACACATAAGATAGTGGAGGAGTCTAAGTATGGAGGGCAATGAAAAGTCAGGATTGGATATTGAGTTGAAAAATCAATAGGTACCTGAAGTCTTACCAATAGCCTAGGGGGGGGAAAGATGATTGAGAGGAAGAATACAGCATACCGGGAAAGGGCACTGGTCAGAGCAGGCTTTGCTTGTGTTAGTTAAATAGGAAACTCATAACTGAAGTGGCTTGGAAGCAGAGAAGCACACAGGTTTGTGAACAGAGATATTTGTCAAAGACAAATAGAAGAGGAAGTGCTGTGTTGTATTCACCAAGTGCCACTGAACAGCAGTGGGAGAGCAGAGATTTTTATTCTTCATTAATAAATCTAAAGAAGTGATTTAAGGACAGTGTAAGAATCTAGCAAAGTGAAGCAACCTCAGGTGATCATGGGCAGCCCCTGGCATCCTTGCATAAAAGGAACAGTAGAAAACAGTCCAGCAGAAATAATGGGGACGATAGAGGGAGCCAAATTAATTCACAAAAACGTTAAGCAAAATTGGGAGCATAGCTCTTCTAACGGAGAGGTTAGGAGTTCTCATTAAAGCTCACAGAATTCTTAGTGGGATAGAGTGCGGGGATACTACAAAGCTATTTGACCTAGTGTCAAGAACAAGCAAAGATGCAGCAGTAAGATAAGCTATGGCTGGACATTACAGGAATTCAGGGAGGAATGTCGGGATAGTGCAAGACAGAAATGCAACTCCCCTTACATGGCCAGGGAACAGAAAGTTTGCTGCATGGAAGCACCAGGCATTAAGTAACACTGCAGAGTTCTGTAACTAGCTCAAAGAAAAATGTGTCTGAGGATTTGTCACCCCAAGATTTCTCACGCAGAGCTATTGGTGGTTTATAGTGATCCCGTATGCTGACAAAATACTATCAGTTAGCCTGCACTCTTCTCCTCAGCAGTTACCCTATTGTAGCTGGAGCTACTGGTTTCATCCAGTGCAGGCAGATAGTACATGAGAGACCAGACATTGCCTGGCTCAAGATCAGGTCTTGGAGCTGTCATGCCTTGAAATAGATTCAGGGTTTCAGTATAACATACTGGTCTCCTGAGAACAATACAGTCAAAAGAGTTTTGGGGAAAACAGATGTAAATACCGGTGCTTAGAAAGACAACCAATAAACCAATTTAACAGTGCACATTTTGGCAAAAACCTTGGTGGGGAAGGCCTAGGAAATCTATGCTGTGGGTTGAAATGTACAGCAAAGGGAATTTGCTGTGAATTCCTGTGCATAATGAATGATATAAGATGCTACCTCTAGCATCTTATCCTCTTTGCTGCTTCGTTTCTCAAGTGACCCTCACAGCCCCCCAAAGAGCAGAGCAGTTGTCATACCCAATCAACCCAGTGGCCTTCCTAATCCAGTCTTCTCACTTCAACAGTTGCTGCTCTTTAATGCATCAAAGAAAGGTGTGAGAAACCCCGTAGTGGACAATTATAAAATAACCTGCCCACAAGGGAAGTTTCTCCCTAATCCTTTGCCATCAGTTGGTGGAGATGTTGTGCGTTGAAGCCTGATGGTTTATATCCCTTCTAAAATTTATTTATACCCTGTCTAATGTGACCATGAATGTTTTCAGTATCTGTATAAATGTCTAATCCTTTTCTGAACCCTGCTAATCTCCCAGCCGCAATGAAGCCTCATGGTAACAAATGCCATGTGTTAATTACAGATGGTACAAATATTTCCTTGCACCATTTTAAATTTGCTTCCTTCCAGTTTCGCTGTGTATCCCTTGATCCTGCAATATGAAAAAGGGCGATGAAATTAGAGCTCACTCATTCCTGCCAAACAGCACTGCTGTCTCTTGATTTGTTTCTTCTCTAAAGTAGCTGTTCCTACCCTCGGCCAAAGTTTTCCTGGGTCAGACTGTTTGGCAGTGGCCTAGGGCATGGCACAGAGCTTATGCTTTCACCTATTCTCTGTTGATGAGTTCATTTGGAAGGGCAGTAGGGAGAGGAAACTCTGAGAGTCTCAAAAGTACATGCTTGAGGTTGCAGACTCTGAAATTTCAGACTGTTCTGTGTCAGCTGGTATTAGCTCAGCAGCAATATGATGACACGGACTGATGCCACTGGCCTTTCCCTCTTTGTTGCCTCGAAGTTGGAGACAGAGCAGGTGGTTTCCTCTGCAGTGTCGTTTCCCCTCAGCCGGATCCAGCCGATGTTCAGGCTGTTTCTGAAAGGGAAGGTCTCGCTCCTCCTCCCATCCCACCTCAGGCATTTCTCCGCTTCCTTGCATCTGTTCTGGTGGTCACCCAGCTGTGCGATTAGTCCCATCAGTTCTGGACTAATTGTCTGAGCAATGCGCATCTCTGTTCTGCTGTTCTGTGCTGACCCTGTGAACGCACAAACAGCAGCCCATCACCCTCAGACATGTGGAGATGGCACTGGAAATATCAAGGGAATGTAAGGTGTGAAGGGGAGAGGCTAAAACTTAAGAAGTTAGCCAAATACAGGAAAGGAAAGGCTAGGAAAAGTGGGACTGGTATAAAAATGCCCTCAGGCAGATGAAGGTAGGAAGGAATTCCTAAACTGTGGTTAAACTCCACATTTATAACGGTTTCACTGGAGGTAAGACCCTAAGCTGCTACAGCTGTGCACCATTACAGTCAACTAGGTTGGAAAAGACCTTCAAGACCATCAAGTGCACCCATTACCCCAGGATGGCCAAGTACACCACTAAACCATGTCGCTGAGGGCTTCGTCTACACATCTTTTGAACGCTTCCAGGGACAGCGATTCCCTCAGGAGCCAGCCGCAGCATCTCCCCACCACACCATAAAGCTCGGGGAGCGGCCCAGCACCGTGGCTGAGGCTGTGTCCTGGCATACCCACAACCAGCCCTAGCGCCCTGGGGACCGGAGCAGGAGATCCGCCGCGGCGGGGTGAAGGGCTGAGACGGGTGACCCCTGAGGCGAGGAGCATGCGGGGGGCGGCGGTTCCCCGGTCGGTAGGGACGCTCTCTAAGACCTCCCCGAGGAGCTCGGCCCGGGCGCCCCCTTCCCGCCGCCTCGCACCGCCCAGGCGAGGCCGCGGTGCCGCTTCAACCCGGCGCAGGGACCGAGACGCGGCCCCGCCCCGTCCCTCGGCCGGTGTCCCCGCCCCGGTAGGCGTGCCCGGGCGGGCGCGGAGGGCCTGTTGTTGTGATGGGCGCCGGCTCCGCCCCCTCCTCGTGCACGGCCGCGCAGCCCCCACCCCGCCCTCACGCCTTTTGTCCACTCCCTGCGCCCCGCCCCTCCGGGTGTCCCGTTCTCTGGTCACCCCCTTCCCCCCCCCCCCACCCCGCCTCGCCCCATTCCGCCCCGGGCCCATCTGTTCCCGGCGGCGCGGCGGTTCCCCTGCAGGGCGCGGGCAGGCGGCGGAGGATGGGCCCTCGCAGCAGCAGCAGCGGCGGCGGCGGCGGTCGGCGGCAGCAGCGCCCCCGCCGGCCCTAGCGCCCCCGCGCCGGCGCCGAGCAGCCCCATGCGCGGTCGGCAGCGAGGGGGCAGCGCGGGGCCGCCGGGGGGCGGCCGCTGAGCGGCGTGGCGCCGGGGGGCGGGCGGAGCCGCAGCGCCGAGCGGCGGCGGCGGCACGCAGCCGCCCGCGGAGTGAGGCAGCGAGTGAGCGGGCGGGCAGGCAGGCAGGCAGGCAGCCGGCCGGCGGCCGCAGGAGATGTGCCCGGAGGAGGACGGCGGCTGCGGCGGCGGCGGCGTGGCCGGCACCGGCGGCCCCGAGGCGGCGGTGGCTCTGGACGAGCTCCGCTCCTGGTGGGAAGTCCCGGCCATCGCGCACTTCTGCTCCCTCTTCCGTACCGCCTTTCGCCTGCCCGACTTCGAGATCGAGGTGAGAGCCCCGCGGACGCCGTTCCCGTGCACGGTGCACGCCCCGGTGGGCAGCCGACGGACGATCGCTTCGCGCGCCAGCCCTCGGGCTGTTACCGTGCCGCGGCTCCGTCCCCGCTGCGCTCCCGCTGCGCGGCGGCTCCCGCGCGCCGCTCCCCGGCCCCCCAGCCCCACTTTGCCCCGGTGAGCCGCTGGATCCCGGCGCGATGCAGCGCGGGTGCTCCCTTCCGCCCGCGGCAGATGCACCAACTTCCCCGGGTCCCTCCCGCGCGCGCTCGCAAACTTTCGGCGCGCCCGTCCTGGTGCGGTGGCGGCGGCGGCGGCGGCGGCGGCGGCGGCGGCGGCGGCGGCGGTGGTGGTGGGCAGAGTTGCCCCCAAGTCCCGGCTCCGGAGCCGGCCGGGCAGCCGCAGGCGGAGCGGGGCCGGCCGCCGCCGGGCCGCATTGTTCCTCCGGGCCGGTGTCCGCGCACAAAGGTGGCGGGAGGGGACGGGCTCGGCAGGGAGCCGGCGGCGGGTCCCCCGTGCCCAAAATGGTGGCGGCGAGAGGCGGGCCCGGCCCGGTGACCCCCACTATCCTCGGGGGGTCCCCGCGGCTGTTGCTGAGGGTAGGGGGGGGGTCCCCAGCCCACACAGCCTGCGCTCAAGTTGCTCCCTTTTGTTGAAGCGGGGGTGTCGGTCCCCACCTGGCTGGTGCCGGTGCTGGTGGATGGGGTGTGTGTGTATGGAGGGTCGCCGCCGAGGCGGGCGGCGGGAGGTGCAGTCGTTCTCCTCATCCCGGCGTGCTGGGCTCCTCCGCGGGGCACCGCGCTGCGCATTGTGCGGCTCCTCGGAGGCTCCGCTTGCAACTACGGTGCCTTCCTCACCGACCGATCGACCGCCTGTGCTCCCCGCGTAGGGCAAACTCTCGGCTTCCTCACTTTCGTGCCCATTTTTCCCGTGTGGGTTTTGGATTTTTTTGGGGGAAAGGGTGTAATTTTTTTCATTATTATTAATTCTTACTTTCGTGCGCGTGGCTAATGCTCCGTAAATATTTTGTGCTCCGGCTACAAACGTTACAAACAAAGTGTGTCCTGGTAAGAAATCTTTTGTGCTTGCTGTGAAAAGCTATTCTTGCCAGCGCGTTGGCAATAAACCCGGGTGAATAACGTGGCGGCGTGTGTTTGTATTTATTTTTTTTCTCTCTTTAAAGGCAGTAATTGCCCCGTGAACGCGAATTCCAAAGATGCTTAAAAGTTCAATGGGATGCGCGAAGCCCTAAAGAGCAAAACTCCTCGAGCAGGATGTGAATTTCTGAAGAGGGGGAATCCCTTCTGCGGTGCGAAATCTTGAGAGGGGATAAGGTCTCGCAATGATGCAACTTCTTGCGAAAGGGAACTCCCCTCCCCCTCCTATTGATGCCAAACCAGTAAAGGGGGAGGCTCCCCGGGCCCGGCAGCGCCAAGTCTTGAAGGAACCTGAATTTACAATGATAAAAGAGCCAAGGCACTAGCCTTTCACCTTTGGAGGCAATTAGCATCTGGCTTGCTTCACAAATGAAGTAAATGTGGGCTCCCCTTTGCTTCCCGGAGCACACTTAGGGTGGAGGTGGGAGTTAACATCACTCGGAACAAATGAAGTTGCTTTTTTGGGGAGGGGGGAAGGGATGCCCGGGGTGAGGAGGAGTGCATGCGGGTTGGTGCTGGGGGTGTTGCAGAGCACAGAGGCAGCACATAGAAAACGTTGCCCTCAAAACCACCTTGGTGCACATGGATGGCTTGGCAGGAACAGGCTTGGAAGGATGGTGTTGGTCAGAGGGACAGTGGGAATCAAGGTTAAAAGTGGGATGCTCCGAGGGGACAGATGTGCCTGTCAGATCTCAGTGTCTTCAGGCACATGGAGTACATCTCCATCCTTGGCACAGTGTGAAGGAGCCTGGTGCAGGTGGTTTCAAAACTCGCTGTTCCTTGAAGCTCACCATCTTGTTACCCATTGCATGGCTTAGTTGTTTCCATTTCACCGCTTGTTTTGGAGATATCTGGGAACGATTCTGTGCACAAAGAGCTTGCGCAAAACAGTTCATGGGGTGAAACCGGTGGCCAGTGATGGATCTTACTCCTTTTTTTCTAAGAGTACTGCTCTGTGGTTTGTACTTTATTTGGCTGCATAGGGAAGGTTCCTTCCTTCATGTTGTACCTAATAGTGCCAGTTCCCATTCTGGCTACATACAGGATGGGCTTTAAGTTTCAGGGGTGTCTGAATAAAATGGAGGTGGCTTTTCTAGGGGCTTATGGGAAGCTCTGGGACTCAAGGCAAATAATGGGAGGAAATGAACCCCTTGACAGCCATCAAAAATTGAAACTGTGCTCATGTACAAATGACATTTTCTTGCTTTAGCTTTGGTTATCATGGGGATGGGTGCTTGTGGCAAAGTGCAAGCTGTTTAAGAAGTTACTGTCCCTCATGGGTAACTTGGGGTGAGTAGCTGGGTCCATTTGGTGGCAGAGTAAAACAGGTGGTTTGAGTGAACCTGCTTCTCGTGTGTGGAAGCAGAAATGGAGCTCTCAAATTCAGAGGGTGTCTGCGGGAGGATGGTCATGCCCAGGCTCCTGGAGCTTCACAGCAAGTGTCTGTCTGACTGCCCAGTATTGCTAAGGGATGGCCTTACTCTGGCTGCAGTTGGCTTTTGGAGGGTATCTTCTTTCTAGGAGGGCTGAGCGCCTCTCAAGTTAAATCCTAGTTTGGTGGCTTTTTCTTTCTTTCCTTTTTCTGATACTAATGCATCTCCAGTGGGGAGCCTGGTGCTAAACTCTTACAACATTGTTACAAGTGAAAGTTTTAAACAAACCTTAATTCTGCTTGTAATAAATATCCCCTTCTTGCTCTCTCCCTCCTTCCCTCCAGTTTAGCAGGCAGTGTGGTTAAGGTTTCACTGCTACAGTCTCTGTAGTTCCCAAACCAGAGAAAACCCGATCTTCCAGTATGTTTTAGTGTATTGTTGTGTTTTCTTTTTAAAGCTGTAGTTATTTACTTTTCTAAACCCCTTCCTCCCCCCCCCCGATATATTTTTCTTCTGGTGGGTCTGCCCATAGCTAGCAGGGAGGCTCTGCAGTGATAGGCCATCTGGACCCATCCTTCTTGCGCTGAGCAGATTCGCTAGTGGTATTTGAGAAGTTTTGGGCTTTAGTACAGAGAAGCAGCATGGAGCTCTCGTTTTTTTCTTTTCAAATGCAAACCTTTCTCCCTCTACTTATTGGCCCAAAAGAGAGTGAAGCTTCCAGATGCAGGGCTGCCATCAGCAGCTGGATGTCAGAAACCTGGGCAGCAGATGTTTTGTTTTTCTCATTGCTGGACCAGTGTGTAGCCAGAGACTGTGGGGAAGGGGTGTCCGAAACTGAAAGAAAGAAGCGCATCCATCACGCCGGACCCTGGGCATTGTTCGGGGAGGGGGTGGGCGCAGCCAGCCCCCATGCTGGCTCCAGCAGATGCAGGCGCCTGACAAGGCACAGGGCTCCTCTTTTCAAACCTCTGCTGCAGCATCACCCGGCGATGGGCTCAGGAGGGGTTCAGCTACCGCCAGCGGGTCAAAAGTTCAGTGGGCCAGGAGCGGGTGCTCTGGGACATGTTCGGCTTCACGCTGTGATCTCACGTGCATCTGTGAGGATGGCAGAGAGCGCTTCTGCCTTCTGGGGTAGGTCTTGTCTTTTTTTATCCTCCTCCCCTTTTAAATGGCTGCCTTGTTGGCCATCTGCTGTATAAAACTTCCACGCCACTTCAAAAGTGGGCTTTTAGTTGTGTTGGCTTGGATGTTGTGGCTTCTTTCTTGATGGTCTGTAAAATCTGCATCGAGTGGGTTTGTCCTTCCCTGCTCTAACAGTACTCCAGCAGGAGGAGGTCTGGCTGTACGGGACACATGCATCATTTTTTTGGAGGCATTGCCTTGATGGACAGAAAGGATGCTTTCCATAGTCAAGTTAGTGCAGGTGATGATAGGGAGTGATTTGTTTCCCTCTTCGAGTCTCGACTGTAATACGGGACACCTCTCGTGACAAAGTGTCTCCTGGCCGTGTGCCCTCCCCTTTGCAACTGAATTATCTTCTTGGCAGCTGTAGGGATTGTTTGCATCGAAAATATTAGGGGAATATTTAACGTTTTCAACTGTATTTCAGCGCAACTTGAAAACACTGGACAGAAGCCAGCGTGGCGCGGCCACCCAGCTCTTTGGCATGTGCTCCCAGGAGCTGTGGGCTAAAACATTTAGGAACTTCTGCCTGGGTAGGTCGAGGGGAGGTGACTTTCCAGAGCGCGCTTGAAAATAATCAAAACGTTGTTAACTTAGTTTATTTGGAAAAGGGGGCAAAGCCACATTACACAGGGAAAACATAAATCTTTTCCTGTGGTTTTTAAAAGCGCCTTTGGGCAAATTGCCTCTGCTGTTAACTTCACTATGGCTTTAAGATGCTTTTCCTTGCCTCTTGCCCCTTCCTAGCACTTCGAGCTCTGGCTCTACCTTTAGGTACATTCCTCTGGCTCCCAGGCAGGGCACTGCTGCTCCTGCGCACCTTTTTCCTCCTATAGTGTGGTATCTATCCTGCTGGTTCTTGAACAGGCTCTTTCTGTCAGGATTATGATGTGGCTGTTACAAAATCAGCAACTGCTACTGCTCCTGTGGGTCTCCCAGGAGGAGGAAGAGTGTGGAGAGAGGGAGAGCTGTGCTGTGGCCATCTGAAGGAGAGAGCAAAGAACAGGGTTTCTTCTATCTGTGCAAACCAGATACAGTTTTAAAGGCAAAAGTAGAGTTTTTTAACATGCTAAACTCTAAATATGTTAGAATTTTTCCTAGTGTGGACGGATGGCTGAGCACGCTTTGACCTCCCCTGTCCTGTCATGTCAGTTCCTGCTGAAATTACTCTGGAGCCCCTTGCTGTGTGCCATCCAGGTTCATCCCTTGTGATCCATGACACCAAACCAGCCCAACCTTCCTGTTCTGTCAGTGGTTTGTACAGGGTTAATTGCACAGCACTA